TCCTTTATATTTGATGTAACTCTCTCTTCCCTCTTTACTGAATAGCAAGAAGATGCATGCACAGTGTGTCCCTAGAAGCTGGAAGCAGTTTCTTCTTGGTGAGAGGGTTAAGTGTAACTCAAAGTTTCAGTTGTCATAAAGATAAAAAGGTTATATTTTTCCTTTTTGGAAGTGAAACATTATCATCTGTACAGCATGCACAGAAGCAAATAGTTAATATGAGTACATGGTGTGACTACAGTTAAAAAAAAAAAAAAAAAAAAGCTCACAAGAGCATTAAGAAAACTTGTAAGATTGACCTGGAAAGATGTATTTGTTCTTTTAAAGAAAGAGTAAATAAGAAAGCCACCTCAGATTCTTCATTCCTACCGGTCTACTGCTATGTCATTCTGACTTCTGTTATTGAGGGTTCTGTGGTCCATGTTACAGCCATTGTAATATTATCCCTTCTTACCTTCAGTATATTTCTTTTGCCAAACTGGAAGGGAGAGAACTCTTCTGGAAAACTTTTTATGGGCTGATGTTTGTGCCTTAGTCTGTTTTTTCTTTGTTCCTGTTGTTCTGCTCCATGTACCCTTTTCCCCCTATATTTTTTTTGTCTTTACAATGACAGATCATCCCACTCCACTTTCACCTGCTCCCAGACAGGCATTGGACTCTTGCTGACGGAGAGTGCAGCTGGGAGCACTGCCTGTCTCCTGCTCTTCTGAATTTTGCTTTTGGAGCTCACCACAGATGTTTTGGACCTCATACATAATGAAACTTTTTTTCTCTTCTGAGGCAGGCTTCCATATGTGTAAGAGGCACACAGTCTGGCACGCTTAGACTTGTGTCTTTTCTACTTGTTCTAAATAAGCCTTGGGAGACTTTTTTGCCATCGTCTGGGACTTCTTAATAGCTTGCAGAGCTCAATAGTATCTTGGTGCCAGAAGTAGAAACCTGTTTTTTTTCCTTAGGGAATGTTATATACACTAAGAGAATGAAGCTAAGGTATTGCTAGGCAAAAGAAAAGAAACGAAGCTAAAGCACTCCAGGAATCGATGAAAACCTCTTACTTTAGGAAGATGGTCTTCTAATAAAAGTACAATAGGTATGTTCTGACTGGGTTTACAGGTACCTTGGGGTGGCCAGCTATGACTTTATTTCTTACTAGGAGTGTTTGGATTTTTTTTAATGAGTTTCACTCTGCAATGTGTTTAGAGTTCAGTAATAAACTCTGTACCGAAATGTACCCAGTACTTTATGTAAGAGCTAATCAGCAGCATTTTCAAATATCAGGCAGTAGACATTCTAGGTACCTTCATACATTGCATTTTTAGTCTCCATGTTACAGTAGGCATAAAAACAGGTACTTTTGTGGAGATCTGTTTCAGTGGTCTTGCTGTTCATGTATTCTGATTTTCTGTTGCGTATGAAAGCTGCCTGCCGCACAACAGAATGCTTTGGGAGCTGATGATGTATAATGCATACAAGGAAAAAAAACAATGGAAGTATATTTATACCAGTAGCTTCAGCAGCTGATTTGGCTCCCCACAAAAAAGAATATGTTGGGGCCGTATGAGGTTATATTTCTTGAAGAGAGAAGGGAAAAATGTCTTGAACTGAATTGGGTTCTGATGAGGAAAAATATTTTACTGGTATGTTGCTCCTTCTCTATTTTGCATGTTGCTAGTGTAGTAGGTTTACTTACTAGATAGCAACAATGAATCAAAAGTACTTCAAAAATACTTGAAAAATGAATCAAATGTACTTTGGGATTCAAGTGCCTGAAAGAATAGTTCTCTCTCAGAAAAAGAAGTGCTGGTGTCAGATGAGACACTCTTGGGTGTCAGAGCTGGGGCTCTAAGGAGTGGGTAGAGCAGCTGAAGTCTTTCCAGTAGAGATTAACTCCAGAAAAGATGCGGGAAGGCAGTGGCGATTGACAAGACAAAATGTGATCATAGGATCCTTTGAGCTGCATAGATCAGGAGGCCTCTTACTTGGTCCTCCTGCCCTGAGCAAGGTCTTCTGAGAGGTCTGTCTAGATAGGTCAGGGTTTCTTCCAGTTAGGCTTTTAATGCCTCTGAGCATGGAAGCTGGCAAAGCCTCTCCAGATTCCATTGCTTGACCAATTTCACAGTACAAAAGTTCTTCCCTGTTTTCAGCCTGAACTTGTCATATTTCAGCTTACTGTTGTGTGTTGTCTTCCCATCACACACCACTGTGAGCAGCCTGGCTCTGATTTCTTGGTAACCTCTCTCAGGGCTGGAGAAGCTGCTGTTGCCAAGCTCAGTCTCCTCAGCCTCTTCTCACAGGGCTGATGCTTCAGCTCCTCAGTTATCATGGAGGTTTTCCTCCTACATCTGTCTGTGTTGCTGCAGGGCTCAGCAAGCTGAGGAGTGATGGGAGGCCTGGCTGTGATTATTGGGGCTGTCATATGTAGGTCCAGTGTAAGGTTGGTGCTGCAAGAGCGTGCGTGATGCTACTCTCTCACCAAGCTTGCCTGAAGTGTGTAGACAGTTCTGCTGGCCTTCAACTGGAAGCACTGACAGGAGCTGACTCTGTTGCCTGGCCTGGTCTTGGCTTTCGTAGTAGGTTCCTGTATTGATGGTGTGGCATTACTGATTTCAGGAAATAATTTAGGGAAATCTTAACTTGGATTCAAAAATTAGGACATAGTTTGAATGATGTAAGATGTTAAAATGCTGTGGAGTTTCTTTTAGTTTTCTGTGTGGTTTTTGAGTGGCTGAGATGCATGCTTTAAGCATTTAGCCATAAGAGTGAGGGGGTGTGTATGTATATGTATATAAATATATATTTAGTCTTAAGAATCATTAGTTGTCTTTCAACTGCACAACTGCAGGAAGTAGGTCTTTAAGAACGACACCAAATGTCATGAAATTTGTGATGTCATAATCAAATTAAGCCACATTAGCAAGATCAAGGTCTATTGCTTTTTTGCATAGTTCAAACTTCTGTAAAGTAAATACCCGTATGATGAGGGTGTTGGTTTTTCTTTTATATGAGGAAGCATGTTTGTCAAGTTCTAAAATTGTAGTTGCTTGGCACAGCTGTTAAGGTGTTGAGCAGAGGAGCATATACATTAATACTCTGAAATACACACTTGGAAGTAGGCATTGAGATGAATCACCCTGCCATGATATAAATTGCTTGGCAAATAAAGCAGCATCTAGTTTCTGCAGAAAGTATGGTTTTGTAGTCTGCATAGATACAGTTAAATTTAATATTTTACGTATTGCATGTAAGTTAAATGTGAAAATATATTCTATTTATAAAATGTAAATCAGTTTTTATTTACACGTCTATCTGTCCAAGACAAGCATTCTTTGAAGTAAATCTCACTCTGTAATAACTTCTGAAGATTGAATTCTTAGATTTTTCAAACCTTGCAGTTGTCAACTCGTGTGTGAGTGGGGCAGCATGCATTCCTGTCTCTGCAAGGTTTGAATCACCAAGATGCTGCAGATGAGAATGATTCTCCTCCAGTATGCTGAGTTCAGCCTCGCATCTGCAGGATGGGTTTTTACCAAGATGGCAGCTTTGTAGAGGTCTTTCTGTTGTTAAAAAGCACAGCCAGACTTCAGCCATCAATTAGTCTTACCTGGAGCTAGATTCAAACTTGCGATGTTGATTTCATCTCTGGCTTCCTGAACACTGTCTTGTGTCCTTAGGAAATCTGCAATCTGAATTAACAGGCTGCACAATTACAGAGTGAGGCACTGGCACTCTCTATGCTGAAAAACAACTCCTGTAAGAAATAATCCACAGCATGTTTCAGAAATGGTTATGTTACACCTATGTGTGTGTATATGCACTCATGTGTGTATATATATATATATATGTATACACATACTTCTGAACATATGTTATGTTATTTTACAGGCTACGTGACTTGTAAGTCAAAAAGCAGGTGTCTGTCCTTTTCACATTGCTGAAATGCACGGGGTGTACAGTTCAAAACAATACTGCCATCCTGCTTTACAATGCAGATAACTTCTTTTCTTTTATAGTTTGCTTCACTGTATAGAGAGCAGTTTGTAATATATGTGCAGGCTCCTTGATCTGTTGCTTTTTCCACAGTGGTGCAGGGCAGTTCCCTGACAAAAGCTGTCATTCTGTGCAGCACAATCACGAAGCTAATGGATTGAGAAATATCTAGCAGTGTTGCAATAAATGGCACAGAGAAAGAATAAAATCTTTGTACAAGCAGCTGATTGAGAATTGCCGCCCTTGCACAGTTAAAATGTGTTCACTAAAGAATGTCTTGTGCTTTCCTGCCTACTCTCTGATACAGGACCCAGTTTTTAAAAGTGGATGTTTCTGTAAATCTTTTATTCTTTGACTTTTACTTGTGTACGAGGGCTGCTCTGAAAGTAATGCCTCCTCTTTTATTCTGTCGGTCCACAGCGTCGAAGGTGAATGTTAGTGTTATGGCACTAGAGGTTGAACCTTCCCACAAACATTTCATTGTATTTTGTTGCCGTGTGACAGATGGCAGCAGAGGGGCAGTCTGACAAAATGATTTCTGACATGGAAGTGTGCGTGAAGCAAAGGTGTGTCGTTGAATTCCTCCATGTGGAAGAAATGGCACCCACTGACAGTCATTGATGCTTGCTTGGATGTTTATGGATGTGAGCACAGTGGGTCATTTCCACTGGTGCTGATTTTTACGCCCATGGCATGCAAGATCTTGTTTATCACTGGCGAAAATGCTTAGCTAATCATGGTGGCTATGTTGGAAAGTACTGTTTTATAGCTGAGAACTTGCTGTGTCAAATACTTCATCTCTGTTGATGTTTCCATGGAAATAAATAGGAGTTATTACTTTTGGAGCAGCCTATGTACTTAATTCTGTGTGTATCTGAGATCTAAATGCAGTGTTCAGATATCTTTTTTATGGCTAACACAAAAGACAGGAAAAAGACAGCTCTCATATATGGTTTCTGCTTCACTTGATGTATGTTTCTGTGATTCTTCATGGCAAATTTTTTTTTTTTCAGTGTCTCAGCCTGGATGTAGCCCAGATGTGTGAAATACACAGCAGCAGAATTTGAGTTTTCAAGTGAAATAGCTTTTCTTTGTCTGAATCATTCTTCAAAATGCAAGATTAGAAGTTTCCTACCACGTCATCTTCAAGACTCACAGAAAATTCTCCTGCAACTTGTGGTAAGATGAAAAAATAACAAGACAACTGAGTTGCAAAGTAGAAGTTTAAAGGAAATGTGAAGGTATAGTTCTAGGTCAGGAAAGAAGATAGTGTTTGTGAATTGACCTCTGTGCTGAAATGTTTTTCAGAGCAATTCCATGTAAGAAATTTTCTATGCCTTATTTCTTCATGTAAAGAAAACTGGAACAGCAGTAAGCCCACATTAATTACCAGGACTACGTATTGCAATAAATATTGTTCAATAAATATTCAAAAATGAAAATATACATTGGCTTTTCTATTTCTGATAGTGTATTTCCAAACAAGGAAGTATATAGTGTTCAGTATGAGTTAGGACAGCATAAGTCATTAACTAATACAGTAAATTTTGGCTTGCTTCATTCCTAAGAAATAGCTGAATTTTTTGTACTTCCAGATTTTCTACTGCTGTATGATATAGACATGTCATCAGAATACTTTCTCTTTGACTGTAATATAGAGTACTTTCCAAAGGGTAGCAGTACTTTCTTATATTATTCTTTTTTCTCCTGCTTCTCTTTCAAGTCATATATATAATTAAAATTTATAGAGTGACTTAGGTTGGAGGAGACCTTAAAGATCATCTAGTTCCATATTCCCTGCTGTGGGCAGGGTTGGCAGCCATTAGATCAGGCTGCCCAGTGCCCCATCCAGCCTGGCTTTGAATGCCTCCAGAAATGGGGCATCCACAGCTTCTCTGGGCAGACTGTGCTAGCAGCAAAGCAATATTCACGCTAAAGACCTGGTTCTTTAAGTGTGTACAGTTCTTATTATTGCATTTACATTCACAGTGGTATAAAATGCTTCCTATAATAAATAATGGAATGCTCACTTTATAACCTTAGGAATTTGGCCAGGGCATCCAAACAACTTATTTTTCAATTGTTTGTAGTCAGACAAGTTTATAATTAAGACAGCAGTGGGCATAAACATTCTTGCAGCCTTTGCATCTCTTCTTTCTTGCTGACATCAAAGGGAATATTTGTGGTAGGAAAGCACTGCAGTTGGTAATAAGTATTTGTGGGATAGTCGATAGTGCCTGGATTCCTTTTTTAAAAAATAAAGCTCTGGTTTTCCCCTATCGTTTGCAATGTCTGCAATGAAGGCAAAACATGCATGCTTTGTTGTTGTTGTTGTTATCATTCCAAACAATGTAGATAATATTATATCTGTACCCTTATATCACGTGCTGGGCACGCCCCAGATCAACAGAGACACTAAGGAAATGGTGCAGATACTTACTAACCATTACATCAGTGTCTGATTTCTAGAAATGTCTAGTATAAACTGCTTTTATGATTCCATTGCCCTGACCTGTAGGCTGTATGGTCCAACTATATTATATATTGATATAATATTATATCATATATTATATCAAGAACAAAATGAAACTGGAAGTGAACAGGAATCCTGATGTACTTTGTATAGCATAAGAAATATATATGGCTGATCATATGGGTGCATGCACATGTATATATAAATATATACTGTTTAGGATTTACTGTGTCTGAGGACGAAGCCGTATGTATGTGACAGACCTTGTAACTTCATGAGTTGTGCATTTTTTTGTGTCAGTCCTGACACAGATGAGCTCCACAGAGATACCAGTCCTGGAGGGACCTTGCTGTGTGAGAAGGAGGGTTGCCAGCTAATGCAGTTTCTCTAAGTGCCATTTCAGTCTATGATTTGATTCCCAACGCTGCTTAGGTTTAAAGCACTGTGTCTGTGTTGTCTTTGAAGATCATGCATTTCTACAGAAACTAGGGATGTCTTTGGAGTGTGCATCTCTACTGGAAAGGCACTGAGGGGCCAGATTTCAAGGCTTGAAAATAATTGGATGGAGTAGTAACTTCCTTGTTGGAATGTTACCAGTTTGATAGTTTCCATCTTTGATTTCTGTCTTGAATTATGTGACAGCGATGTTGAAACAACTGAGATTCGTGTCCCCCTATATTTCACGCAGAATTTAAAATGTAAATAATTCACCTTAATAATATGATTATAAAAAAAATAGGAAAACTAGACCAGTTAAGAGGTTCATTGTTGTTACTGAGAAAATAGGTATTTATGCTATCTGTAATGTATGTAAGTCTAGCAATACGTTTATCTCCTGAGAACTAAGCCTCAGAATGAACTGCAAGATCAGAAACGAAACTGCAGTCTCCAGCATGGTGCGTTTATAACAGTGATCTAATCCAAGGGCTCTAATGGCATGATGTCTTGTTAAGGTTAAAGTCTTTGCAAGTTAATGTTCGTTCTCTGTGAAAGAAATGCTGCTAATACTAAGTCAAAGTAGTGCCCAATGATATTGCCACGAGTAATTAAAATAAGTATGCAGACAAACTGTGATTGTGACAACAAATGCTAACCTGTTAGGCAGTAGAATAGTACTTTCTTGCAGTGGTTGTTTTGCATCACAGCCACCTTGGCGGTAATCTAAATTCATTCTGAAAATTGCTGTACCTTCTGTTGACAGTCTGACATTCAGCACTCTTGCTATTTTCTCATTGTTTTGGTTTTCAATTTATTCGGAATGCAGCTCAGAAGTCTTTCAATAAGTAAACTTACTTCAAGTACACTTACTCTGGATACTTTAGGGGGGGAGAAATTGTTCTCTGTGCTTCAGGTTTCCTTGATAGATGAGGTTCACTGACAGCAGCACTGCTCATGCTGCATTGCTCCAGGTAAAAATAGTAAGTGGTGTCAGTCAGCCTGGTCTTGTCTTACCTGTTGCAAAGTGAGGAGTGAGACATTTTGAGAAGAGATGCAAATGCAGATTCAAATTAAGTTGACTTTTTATTAAGTTGACTTATTTTTCAGTTTCTGGCCCAGGGAGCAAGAGCTACTTTAGATGCTCAAACCAGCAAAGGGTAAAGGCTGCTGCCTGAAATAAATCCAGCAACTGTCCTCAGTATGTAGCTATTTTTCCTGTATGTTATGCCAAAAGAAAGACCTGTAACAAAAAGTGGCTGAGCTATAGCTATCTTCAATAATAATAATAATAATAATAATAATAATAATAATAAATAATTTGAAGATTTGAGAGACAGAAGGAGCTTGCAAGGAGTAGAGTAAGAAGGTAGTTAAATTCACTGGGTAACTTGGAGAGAAGTAAAAAGGCTGCAAAGTAAAAGTTCAATTAAAATACTTTGAAGTATTTTGGTAGCTGTTATATTCTTGCTTTTATTTTCCATAAATCTTAGAATTTTACAGATTATCAAACAGAATACCATGTATTTTCAGTCTCTTGGTAACTTCAGTACTTCCAATAATTTGTTTCTATTAGTACTTAATGAAAGTGAATTATTAAACAATGATTAGCATAATATATAATATGAGTTATCATCACTGGAAGCTACATAGCTACCTAAAGAGGAACCTGAGACAGATAAAAATAAAATGTGTATAGTTGCTATATTTAAAACACTAGGTGTTATCTCCATGTAGGAAGTGAGGTGCTTTTTCCCACCTGTCTCATAAAACTGTTCTAGATGATTAAATAGGAACTACAGCTTTGTTCCCATTTACAAATTGGTGCCTAGCATTGATGCATGCTTCAGACTGTGTGGCTCATAAGAACCTCCCAAAAGAGGTTCATTGTTTTTCTTTAGTTTTGACCTTTAATAAGGTCAAAGGTAAGCTCTCCTCAGGTGGCCTGAGAAGGGGGATAATGTGGGTCTGCTTTTAAGAAACTAACTTCAGGGCTCTGAGATCTAGACGCGGGATATTCAGGATATGCTTCATGTATGTATTTTTAATGAATTCCCTTTTAGTGGGTGGGAATTGCTTCTGTTATGTCAAGACTCTGGAACACACAACATCAATGAAAAGTGAATGTTAGGGCATGTTATTTCTGATGTAAATGTGGAACTACTGTGGTAATAGGTGCACAGGTGGCTCTGAGTTCATAGATTCATGCGGTCTCTACTACTCTGACTTCAAATGCAGATTATGGAATAAAAGAAGGCACGATGTGTCTTTTCCCATTTTTAGATATGGCTTAGCAGCTAGAAATAAAATTCATCAGTGCCACACATGGAAGAGTTTCACAAACTGCAAGTAAGTCTGCTGTGATGGTCGACATAATCAGAAAGTACAGCTATAAAACTGGTTTTGTATAGCCTGGGATTGGGGAACTTCCTCTCTTTTCTGCTTTTTTTTTTTTTAATTTCACTTTTTTTGAGGTAAACATTATTGGATGATTAAACTGTGCCCACAAAACTGACATTCAGAAAACTGCCCCGAATAAACAGTTTTGTTTATAAATAAAAGCGTGAAGGATTAAGCACTTCTATGTTTGTTACATTTAATTGTGCCAACTGTTTGATGTATTATTCTGAAGCTCTAGAATAAGGTACTGACATAAGTTGTTTTCAGTATTCACTGGATTTAAAAGTCTTGCTGTTTGCATTCTGCCATTAAATGGCTGGCATCCCAACAGTTGTGACAAATGCGTATGTTGGCAAGGAATAAAAAGTGGTGGCACCTCTGAAGTTTTACAGGAGGTGTGCTGCCCAGGGATAGTAGATGGTTTGAGCTGTTACTAATGCTGTTCTGTTGTCTGTGCTGTAGCTAATTTCTGAAACAAAGAAATACTGGTCGTGCATTCTACTTGGTAGTCAGAACTGCTGCATTTACTTTTCTTTGAGTGTTTTCTGACACTGGGATTCTTGTGTACCCAATGCTTTTGTTGTTTTGATAATGAAAGAAGTCTGACTAGGAGCTCTCTCAGCCTTTTAACTGCAGTAGGGACTACTTGAAAAAGCGTGACCCTCCTAAAATTCTTTCCCTCAAGAGGAAATGTCTGATTTTTAGTTTGTCTTTGATCCCATCTCATCAATGTAATTTTATTCCTTCAGACAATTGAGCCTGCAGTTCATTATAGCGCAAGACCGGAACCCTTCTATTATCGTATTTTTAGCTACAATTATTTTGAGCTTTCAAATTGCATTTGCAAAAGGAAAGGCCTGCATCAATCCCA